TGGTTGCAGCCATCATTGTTGTTTGGCGGGCCCAGGCTGGATTCGAACCCGCCACCTTAGGTGTATGTGGCTGGCGCCTTAGCCACTTGAGCCAATGTATTTACTTTAATTTTATTACATTGAATCATAGAATGTGGAGAGTAAGATACTGGTTCTTGGGCGGCGCCTGTGGCTCAGTGAGTAGGGTGCCAGCCCCATGTCCTGAGGGTGGCGTGTTCAAACCCGGCCCCAGCCAAATTGTAACAAAAAAATAGCTGAGCATTATGGCAGGCACCTATAGTCCCAGCTACTTGGGAGGCTGAGGCAAGAGAATCGCCTGAACCCAGGAGTTGGAGGTTGCTGTGAGCTGTGACATGACAGCACTCTACCCAGGGAGACAAAGTGAGACTCCATCTCAAAAAAAAAAAAAAGAAAAAAAAAGATACTGGTTCTTTGGTATTATTGAAATTTCCTTTGTGGTCTAATGTGGAGTTTTGCTTTGTGGTTTTCAAAAGTTCTGTGGATTCCTAAAAATAGTGCATATTCTCTAATTAGATACATGTATAGACTCCATGCTCACCTCTGCTGCCACAACCCAGCATTTTACTCAGAGTGTGCTTAGTAGTTTTGGGTATTGACCACTTGTTCTGTTTTTAAGTTGTCACTGATTCTAAGACTTGAAATCTAAGTTTAAAGACCTGTATCAGGGTGGCGCCTGTGGCTCAAAGGAGTAGAGTGCTGGCCCCATATGCAGGAGGTGGTGGGTTCAAAGCCAGCCCTGGCCAAAAACTGAAAAAAAAAAAAGACCTGCATCGATTAGCTTGGTGGCACACATAGCTCAGTAAGTAGGGTGTCAGCCACATACACCGAGACTGGCAGCTTCAAACCTGGCCCAGACCAGCTAAAACAACAATGGCAACTGCAAAAAAAAAAAAAAAAAAAAAAGAAATTGACCTTTAGTTTTTTTTTTTTTTTTTGAGACAGAGTCTCAATTTGTCACCCTTGGCAGAGTGCTGTGGCATCACAGCTCAAGCAACTGCAAACTCTTGGGCTTAAGCAATTCTCTTTGCCTCAGCCTCCCAATCAGCTGGCACTACAGGCACCCGTAATGCCTGGCTATTTTTAGAGACAGGGTCTCCCTTTTGCTCAGGCTGGTCTTGAACCTGTGAGCTCAGGCAATCCACCCACCTTGGCCTCACACAGTGCTAGAATTACACGTGTGAGCCACTGTGCCCAGCCTGACCTTTAATTTTCTTTTCTCTTACTGCCCTTACCTGGGTTATAGAAATGCTGTACTGACCTCATGAAATGAATTGGAATCTTTGCTTCATTTTCTATTCTCTAGAATAATTTCTGTGATATTTCCTCCTTTAAAACTATCGAGATATGTTCTACTTTTTGTTTTGTCTATATGCATGTGTGAATGGATTTTAAACTACTGATTCAACTTTTAGAAATGGTTATAGGTCATTCAAAATTTTCTTTTCTGGCTCAGCGCCTATAGCTCAACTGGCTAAGGCGCCAGCCACGTACACCTAAGGTGGCGGGTTTGAATCCCCAGCCCG